TTTATGGTTCGTGATCAATCATATTCTGATAAAAGAAATCACACGGAATAACTAAATAAATAAATGTCTCACCACAAGCAATTCTTCCACCAGCATTTCCAGTGCTTTTGCTCAGCTCATGTCCACCTGAGAAAACAGGCAGAGGTTTAATACATTTGACTATTAAAAGGAATCTCATATTTGAATTCAAGAAACTAACATCAAATGGAATATTGTGTAAATGCAGACGTAAATAACATATCGTGTTGTCTCGTTCTACCTTCTTGAGGCCAACTCGAACCAAACTAGAAAAAAATGTAAAAATGGAAAAATACTCCAGAATTTCATACACTGCCCTTATACAGTTTTATTCATCAATCTCAATTGTTTTTCATGCAAAATACTTGCCACGGGAATATTAGGTCGACAATAAAAGCTGCTCTAATCGTTCGTTGCTAATGTTGGTAAAAGACAACCAATAGCCATCACCAACATATCAAGTGTCGAGTGGGGCCAATTTCAGACTCAAACTTAACAATTTAAGTAGATCAGTTAATGATAAAAATTATTCATGGAAGACTCACTCACCCTTTCCAAGATCATCAGGGTCAGCATGAACAACTACAGCCCTCCCAATGATAGAATTTGGCCCCGTAAGTGGTATCTGAAGAAGATGGAGGAAAGAATTACGAGTTAAAGGTTAATATCTAAATTCACAACCAAATCAGATAGTTGATGTGATATTGTAGAGTAGAAATAAACCTGTGAATCGGCAATCTTGACATCAGCTACGCCTGAAGAATGTACAGAGGAGAATTCAAGTCAGTTGAAAGCTAATAATCGTAATGGCGGGCAATTATGTCATGTAACCCCCATTAGAATAACTATATACGACCAAGCATTGATCAAACATTGGTTTTACTGAAAGCACAGCTAAAGCAGAACACAAATTTCTCCTCCGTGAGAACACTTGTTTCCCCAACCATAATGTTCACAAAACTAATGTTATTTGAAACAGGCATTAATGAAGTATCCAATGCAACATCACAGCTAGAAATAATGGCGAATATTTGAAACGGTTAACCTAAGACCTAGATTTGTGAGTTAACAAATAAAATAAAATAAAATACAAATTCCATGCGTGACATTGAACCATAGTATGCTAAACTCCTTTAGGGTCATAACAAAATATAAATACCATCATCTCCAGCATTGATATTCCCAAGGTCCCCAGCATGGCGAATCTCATCTTCTGGCGCACCATGCTCGACATTAGCAGGATTGAAATGAGGTCCTATTCATTGGCATTAATGAACCAAAAAATCAAATTAACAGATTGAACAACGTATTTGTAAATACAATACCACCAAAAAAGACAGGTATTATGAATTTGGGAGAAGTACCAGTTGATAGACAACCATTGGTCGTGTCACCAAGGGCATGCACGTGAAATCCATGAAGTCCGGGCTTAAGGCCCGAGATCTTACCAGTCACATTTGTTGGACCTGAAGAATAGCACACACAAAGGGAAAACCGTAAGCATCTACTAGAACTTGAAAAGATAATTTGATAGAACTAGTGATTTGATATCAACTCATAAGTACCATTTGCTTCTTGGGTGAAGGTGATGGTGCCAGAAACACCCTCACTGCTGGTGAGAACTACAACTGCCTTTACCATGTTTAACGTGTGATCTACAGGATGTACAACTAAACAATATCAACCATGTAATACAAGCAAGATAACATCCCAAAAGCAAGCAGTAGTTGAAAATGGATGAGAAATAAAAAGACCCCGTGTTTGTCAATAATAAACAAAACCATATAAAAACACAGATAATAGATTATCAAACATTACAACCAACAGAAAAGCGCTCACAGGCTTTTAATCTTAGTATGTAATATGAGATGACATATATAGGCTGACAGTTTCAGTTATGGACTAGACATATCTATCAGAATATAAATTCAGTATTATTCTTAAGAAACAACTACAAATTACAGCCATCACAACAACAAACTGAAAGCACCTTGTTGAACAAGTCAGTTTTTGCTACAAGTTGAAAGATACAAGCTATAGGCACGTTTAAAGATATAACTAACAAACTACTATCATATACCGTAAACCTCTGAAAAACATCGAAGGTCAACAAGCAAAAACAGATAGCGTTACACCAGACCAAATCAATCTACGAGAGAAGTGTCAGATGTAGAGAAATTATGAATCCGACAATCGGATACACAACAGATCAGCGGAAAAGCTTGAAACGAAAACTCAGATGAATGAAAAAACAAAACAAAACAAAAGCAACTCAGTATAACATTTGAATCCCGCGTAATCCCAAATCTGAATCAATTGCTACAGGACTACAGAAAACAGATCAAAAGAACGATGAAACAAAATCAAAACAGAAACCTGATGATAAAAGATTTTGTATTACCTCAGAGCACCCCTTTGACTTCTGAGTATGTAGAGATGAGGAGAAAGATGGATTAGATGGCGAGTGGTTTATGAAAGATAATACTCAACTGTGTGACTTGTGAGGTTTGATGGATGGATGTATGTATGTAGGAAAATGCTAGAAGAGGAGGGGTAGGTGGAGATGCCAAAATTCTTTACC